AGAATTGTCAGATTTTGGCAATTAAGGCCTTTAGCATAGCCTTTTGCAGATCCTAAACATATCCACAAAACACTGGAGTTTCTTTTATAACCCCGTAACAATACACTTTTAGGTACACGTTCAGATAAGTTTGATTTGATGAGTTTTCTTGAACGGATCAGGTGTGTTTCTCTCACAACTATGGTTGACACCTAGTGTTGTCATGATGCCATAGTTTAGATTTTTTAAACAGACACAGAGAGACAAAGTGTAGTAGCATGATGCTTAGTACCAAACAATAGAGAAAAAAAATTATATAAATGAAAGTTATAACTCTCTGAATTCTAAATGTTTATTGCATTGGACACACAAGAATACTCACATTTTTACAGATCAAAGATCGATTTTTTTTTATTTATTTATTTTTTTTCCCCTTTTAATTCAAGCTCTCTTCACATAGACATAATAGACTCTTCACATAGTAAATAAATAGCTACATGTTTAAAATATGACCTCATTCAGTAAGTTCTGAAGGTAAGATTAAGTGAAGAAAGAGGGCCTACAATATACCTTAACGTTCATGACGCATTGAAAACAAATACATAATGCGTTATAGCTTATGCTGATTACGATTCTGCCCGTTTGGAGGTTTGCTTAGCTAGTAGACTCTTTAAAAGTAATGGTTTATGGACAGTTCTTGCCTGGGCCGTGTGGTTCCAAAACCTGTTGCATTATGTGGAGGTTCTTTAAACTTTAAAAAGATTGTTCATGCGTGCCTTATTTATAGAAATTCTTGTTTTTCAAAGAACAACAGCAAAAGTGGTTCCACAGAGAGAAAAATATTTATAAAACTTGCTATTTTTTAAGTACTTTAGTAACATAATGTACACCCTGAAGTTAAAAAAAAAAATGCAGTCATCACTGACCTCACTGTAGCAAAGGAAATGACGTAGGACTTACATTTATCATATAAGAAATATGAATTTTGAATTAAATGAAGGACCATTTTGTCCTCTTGGCCACACACTACACTTGGTCCTCTCCAGTCAAAAATAGCGTAGCTCTTAAGAATCCTTTTTGGAATGTAGGGGGAAAATACAATATCAACATATTGCTAGGTTATTTAAGTTGAGGTTTGAAAGAGGATTGTGGAAATGTTTGCCACATTGCAGTATTAAAGTATTGAACTTTCAGTAAATTTTGCAACCCTACTTGCACCCAAAATTGGCCACAGGTGGGTAAAATAATTTTTGATGTGGCCTTGATGCTATAAATATTAAATAGAATTATTCCATCAACTTTATAGAACTACCAGTGCCTGGCATCTCTTCAAACTTTACATGATTGGTAGTACATACTACACACTGATCTAAAAGAGAATCAGTTTTTACCTTCATGTACATTCTTCTTAAAAAAGAAAAAAAAAAAATTCATTTCTTTCTTTCATTTCTTTTTGTAATAGCTTATGTTACCTGATTTGATGTTTTGTTCAAAGGTCTTCAATCTTAATGCACCAGTCCCACCAGCTAATGAGGACTCTCCTAAGCAGACCAGCCAGTACCAGAGCAGCTACATCCAGGGTTTTACCAGCCAGACACAGCACCCTGTGGAACAGACGGACATGCAGTCAGAACCGCTTCAGTCTGGTGAGTACTTATCAAAAACAGATGTGACCACTTTTACACATTTTGTGTAGGACGTCTGCATTTTGATGTTCGCTTTTAATATATGGCACATTGCTCTAAAATATAGCTGAAGAGCAGTCATCTTTTTGGGGGGCAGGGGTCAAGGGGTGCGAGGCAAACAAGATATGAATGTGGAATCAATAATTGTGTAGATGTTCTGAACTTTCATGATCTGATGCCTTCTGGATACCCTTCCCTCCCCCTCACATTTGCAGTCTCATGGCAGCTGCTCTCCATTTTCCTAATCTTATGCCAAGGTGAATGTGTTGAGCTCAGTAATGTGAAATAAAATGTATTAGGGAGGGGATGCATCTCCCTGTTTTGCAAGTTTACATATAATCGGTTACAAACTACCATGAGCACTTGACAGACATTTGGATGGAAATATGTATGCTGCAGAGACAAGTAGAGTTCTTTTGCAAAGAAAATGCAGTCACGTATGTGATTAACAGCATTGTTTGACCACTTGTTTTCGTCTTCTGCAGTGGTTGGCACTTTCCAAGACCAGTCACTTCCCACTTCCACAGGCCATCAGCCCATGTCTCAACAGCCAGCGGGTCAAGGCACCACATTCAGCCGGCAGACACAGTCCTTTTACAACAGTCGGGGTATGTCTCGTGGTGGGCCTCGGAACTCCAGGGGTATGATCAATGGCTATAGAGGACCAGCCAACGGTTTCAGAGGTGCCAAGTTTCAATGTGCATTATTTTGATTTTATATTATTATGAGTGTATAACAGAGACAGCAATGTAAGCTGAATGGCGCACAGCTGTGTAGCCTCATTGATTTTTGAGTTTATAAATCACAGCTCTTTTATAGTAAACATGGAGGCATATGGAATCCTGATGAAATCTGAAAGTCATGATATGAGTTTTACAGATCCCTGTTAACAGATTGCTGCCCTATGAATATCTAAAGAGTAGTCTAGGATTTTGTACTTGGAATTCACTCTCTGTGTCTGTATAATAAACCTGACAGTTTAAAAAAAAAAAATCATAAAAAAAATGTTAAATAATCAACATCTTGCAGGAAACTATGATGGTTACCGTGCACCCTTCCCTGGCACTCCAAATTCTGGCTATGGACAGGCCCAGTTTGGTACTACTCGAGACTACTCCAATAGTAACTACCAGAGAGTAAGGAATTTTTTTATTTTTTTATTTTTTTTTTTAAATCAGGATGGAATTGACAAGATTTGTAAAATGGATTTTTTACTTTGTGTCCTTGGTCCTGGCAGAATAAGAGAATCATGATAAATTGTCCTTTATTCTCTGCAGGAGGGCTACCACCAGAATTACAAACGTTCCACTGGACAAGGACCTCGAGGGGTCTCACGAGGAAATGCCCAAACTATGAGGTCCTAAAAGACTTTTTGACTCACTTGACATCTTGAGCTACATCGAATGCTTAGTCAGATATGGAAAATCCATATGTTCCATCTCACGTTGTATTCTTGTCAGTGGTATTTTTCCTTCTGGCACTTGATGAAAGTAAACCTGCATTGGCACATTTCTAAAGTAATGAGAGAACTTTCTGGGCACAGAGTAAGCAAATTAAGATTACACTGTCAGTTCATCAGTGACCTTTTAATGTGGTGCAGGACTGTGTTTAATCTGTATCTGCAAAACCGCAGATCAGGTTTAGGCCTGCACTTTGTTACTATGTTTATAGTAATATTCCACTGGAAAGGTCTGCATAGTCCAGGACTATGCTTAGTCTAGAAAATGGCCCTATGTTTTAATGACAAAAAAACTGAAGAGTCACTGTCAAGGTTTTAAGCTAGCCTGTAAACTTGAAATATTTCATTAATTTATTATTTTGTATAAAAATAAATGCAAAATTTCTGCTCCCACTGGTGTGATACATAATACTGTTTCTTCCTCTCCAATTTGTCTGGTCCCAAGAAGCATTTTTTTCAAGGCCCCAACTCTTCAATTTGTATATTGATGTTGCTTTGAGAGTTTCAATAAAGATGTGTTGCGTAACTCTGCTTGGTCTTGTGTGTGTGTGTGTGTGTGTGCGTGCGTGCGTGCGTGCGTGTGTGAGTGTTTTATATAAAAAAAGTATTTGAACCATTTACTCTGTATTATTCCTCCTAGTTTGAATTATGACCGTGTTTAGTATGTTAGATATGTACAGTTTGCCACCTAAACAAGTTAAATACAGGTCTGCAGACTGCCCAGTTTGTGACAGGTCAATTGTGCAGTAACATTTCAGTGCTGTGCAAAAACCAGGAGTCACCCTTTTAAAAAGTAGAAGACTCAACAACTGATTTGTCCAGTATTTAGTGTGTCTGCCCTTTGCCTTTATTGAGTACAACTTCCATTCTTTCCAGGAGACTGGCTTTCAGTTTTCTTACAGCAAGGTCATTAGGTGTTGCACAGTTGTTAGGAGGCCCATTTTCTATATCTTATTTTTTTAAAATCCAGTTTTTGAAGCCCCCCCCCCTCAAATCTCCCCAAAATCTCTCTTGAAAATGAATGACTTGTACTTAGTTTTGACTGAACTTTTGCACAGTACTGCATGTGTGGCTTATTTGTGAGTTTGGTCATCATTACATATAGTTTCAGTTCTAAAGTATTTTTTAAAATGTTTTTTCATGTAATTACTGTATGTCTGTGATGTCACCCTTGACTGATTAATGTCAATATCTCTTGTTCCATATGTACTCTGGGCTTTCCTTAATACAAATCTGAAGTAATTTTTTTAAATTGGTTAAACCATATGGCTAAAACGTTGACCCTCACCACAAGGGACTGAATTTTACAAATAACAGTAGAAACTTAATCTCGATACTTGATTAGGGATACTATTAAGCACTGAACTGTGGTGTTTTCGGTTGCAAGTGAAGCTATAATTATAGCGAAGCTCCTCGTAAGTTAAGGGATTACCGTCATCATTTAAGTGTGCTTTAGCCCACATTCCCTTATCAAACCAATCCTGGTAAAATATCGTTAATTTCGGAAGCGGATTTATCTGTTCTTCCATATAGGCGTGCCGTGCGGTGTAAAGTAGAGTTTAAAAATCAGTTTTCAATGAAGCAATAACTGTTGCTAAATGGAAGACATTTTGATGGATAACTTTTGGACGGAAAAAATCACACCGTAAAAGGAAGCCTAACCCCCCTGCTTTTTTAAATAAATAATGAGGGATACAAAACCAAAAAATATTTTGGGACACCAAAAGATTTTTTTTTAACCATTTCATTTCAATGGCACTATTTATGGAGTCGAAATCCGCAGCCTAAATTTTGTAATACATTGTTGTAAATGATGGTAAACCGTAGAGGCCATTGTACGGACAGCTATGGCCTCGGGTCCTTTTGGGTCCTCATTGAGTCGCAGAATCACTGACGTCTCCTACGGCGCTGTAGTTCCACGTGCGTGTAGCGGTGTGTGCGTGCGCGATGTTCGCTTTAGAGGACTTGTTGATTTTATAGAAATCTTTCCGATTAACGTCTTTAGGTATTATTCATGCGGTCATTTTGCTTTTGTGCACTGGTATGATAGTCGCTGTCGGTGTAGTCAGCATGATTTAAAGCCCCATGTTAGCGTGGGAAATGCAACACTGAACAGAATTTTGTAAAACTAAATTATTGCTCGTTAACGTAGCTTGGTTAGTTCTCTGATCTGACCGTTGTGCCTTCGTCCACCGTGGCTTAGCAGACCTAAATGGTAATTCTTCTGTGAGCAGGTTCTGAAAGGCATGGCGACAGTTCGGAAGAAGGTCGATAATCGTATTCGCGTCCAGATCGAAAATGGAGTCGCACAGCAGCATCGCACGATGTTTGTCATAGTGGGCGACCACGGCAGAGACCAGGTAAGTTACTGCAAACTTAAGTCAGTTTAGAATTTGGGTAAGAACAACGGTGGGTAGTAACTAGTTACATGTAATCGGTATCACTTGTGTGAAAATATCTAATTAAATGTAATTTCCCCTGTGTATTTGCTTTTGCTGTTGTGTATTTGCTGTAAGTTCAGTAATGTAGTTGAAGTTATCATAGCTACTAAAGAGACAAGGGTAAGTAGTAGTGATACAAGGTATCCAGTGCAACTATCCCACCTGCACTGCCATTAGTTACGCCACTGGATTTGAATGAACATATGACTACTTGCTAAATTATTAGGAAATAAATCCACTTTGTACCATAGTTTATCATTGACATTGAGTTACTGTAATTCCTTTTTGTCTTGTAAAGTACAAGAGCCTTTGGACTGTCATGAAACTTTTCACACCTGTCACTTTCGAGCTTTGAGACTAAGTGTCATAAAAAGAGAAGCATAACACTTAACAAACCTCCGTTTCCATGCGCTTAGTTTCTAGATGTTCTAAGAAGTTCCACTACAGTTCTGTAGGGAATTCAGTACTTTGAGGAGTTTTTTGACTAGATGCTTTACCCTTGCTTGTGTTTTTTGTTTTGTTGTTGTTTTTAGATCCACTTTAGACAATAGTTTGGTCAAGTCAAAATATTTTGAGGATGGTTTTAGGTTACTGTGCCCACTTGGTGTAAACACTGTCAGTTAAAGCTGTGGTAAATATACCATAGGTTGTTATTCTGCACCACATGCTCTCCAAAGCCACTGTGCGAGCACGACCATCAGTCCTCTGGTGTTATAAGAAGGAGCTTGGCTTCAGCAGGTATGATCACAGGTTTCACAATGTACATATGGTTTTAATTTCCATGTAAAAAAAACGTGTGCTCTTTTGACTCTCAGCTCGTTTGTCTTAACGGGTTCATTTTGCAGTAATCGCAAGAAGAGGATGCGGCAGCTGCAGAAAAAGATCAAAACAGGCACTCTAAACCTTAAACAGGATGACCCCTTTGAACTTTTCATTGCTGCCACTAACATCCGCTACTGTTACTACAGCGAAACTCACAAAATCTTGGGAAACACATATGGCATGTGTGTTCTACAGGTTGGTTTATGATGCTGAGTTCTTTATATGAAATCCAGTTTTTTTTTTTGGATTGATGTTAAAGTATATTTCCTTTTTGTTCTTCCTTAAAGGATTTTGAGGCCCTAACTCCCAACCTCTTGGCTCGGACTATTGAGACAGTGGAAGGTGGAGGCATTGTGGTGATTTTGCTGAGGACTGTGAACTCATTGAAGCAGCTGTATACTATGACAATGGTAAGTGGCTTGTTGCGTGTTGGAAATGTTTTGAATGTTTGTGACTCCAAGTGTGATTGTGATTGTCCATGATCTCTGTCAGGATGTCCATTCACGCTACCGGACTGAGGCTCATCAGGATGTTGTTGGAAGGTTCAATGAAAGGTGAGTGGAGTGGTGTCTCGGGTTATCTTCTTAAAGCAAAACATCAGCTTAATATCAACTCACTGTTACATTTTTGCCTTCACAGGTTTATCTTATCCCTCTCCTCCTGTAAGACCTGTGTTGTCATTGATGATCAACTCAGTGTTCTGCCAATCTCCAAGCACATTGCCAACATCAAACCTGTCCCACTTAAAACACAGGTATGTTTTTCCAACAGTGTTCCTTGTCCATTTACTTGGACAGCTATTCTTCATGATCTGTGGCTCTTACCAACAGGAAGATGGTCTGTCAGCACGAGAACAGGAGCTGAAGGACCTGAAAGAATCCCTGCAAGACACACAACCAGTTGGTGTTCTAGTGGACTGCTGCAGAACCATGGACCAGGTATGCTTAAAAGAACTAGGTATTGTCTGAGAAGTGCTGTCAATCAAGAGCTTGTTCTGGATTTGTGTTAAGTTTGGGTTTCTAAAATAACAAAATTGAAAAGGAAATGGTGAAGTAACACAGCAGCTATTTATATAAGATTAGTTAGACTAAATTAGAAGTTGAGTGATGAATTGAGTTGTTAATTATACTTAAAATGGAAAAAAAAAATAAAACAGCACTATTAAGGGGTAAAGTGGTTAAGTACCGTAACAATTATTTTTAATTTTACTTTCCATCTCTGTTAGGCTGAAAAATGTGCTTAACCTCGTCCTAGTAACCCAAAATCTTTTGAAAACTACTTCACTTGTAATTATAGTAAATGTTACAGCAAACGCATTTTTTTTTTTGCTTAGTTGTATTACTGCAGCAAATCAGTTTTAAGCAAGTTGAAGTTCTAGAGCAGAATGCCATTTGTTGGTTCTTTGCATTCAAGCTAAACTTAACGTTAAATAAAACAAGTAAAAAAGGAAGAACCTTGCAGTAAGTAAAGCAAGCATTACAGTGGGTAGTAGAGAGAACTAACAGAACTTCTTAAGGAAACTGCTTCTTCTTCTTCTTCTTCTTCTTCTCCTCTCTCTCTCTCTCTCTCTCTCTCTCTCTCTCTCTCTCTCTCTCTCTGACAGAAAAAACACGCACCCGCACACTTTGTGAACCACAATTTCCCAACATATTTACAAAGTGTTTTACAGTAAATTAGTCCTCCCTCATTCTCTTTCAGTTTAGTTCTCTTTTCTAAACACATTACCATCAGGCTACTTGTCCATTAGCGACGATATCCAATTGTATTGCCCTGTTGCCCAGGCCTAGTAACCATTGTACAAGTGAAACACAAACAGATGTTTGCGCAAAATACAGGTAACAATGCACAGAAGATTTTGTAAAATCTTTGTAAAAAACAAAATAAGCTTCAAAAATTGCATCCCTTAAAATTTATAGGTGACTTGAAGAAAAAAATGTAGTCATTTGAGGGTGTGTGCATGTTATACCATAAGCCCCTTCCCTCCCATTTTGCTCTGAAAGGTTGCACCCAGATGTCTACCTTAATCTCGAAGGAAGGTGCCGATATAAAGACCCTAGGAGAGGCTGAGGTGTAAATTTCAGTACACTGTTTTAAACATTTCATTTTTTTGATTTTTGAATTCTGTGTTAGTTATTGTTATACCTTTAGCAAACATGACCAAGCACCTACCTATCTCTGAAAAACAGACTGAGTGGGTAATATTTGTTACACTTTAGACACAGCCTAGGTGTGAACTAGAAATACAACTGTGGTTGATTCATTTGTTTGACTAATTTTTAATGTTGCACAATGCAGTATCTGTATCGGCGCTGATACCGCAATATCGGTATCGGCAATGGGGATACTTAACAACCTGTCGGTAGGGCTGGGCAATATGGGCAAAATGTTATTACAATAAAAAAGTTGATAACGATATTTATCATGATATGTCAAACCACTATTTTAAAGGCTGATTTTTGCTCCTGAGTGGTTCATTTCCCAGATTAGCTGTTTTTACCAGCTGGCACAGCACAGCTGCGATTTTTGTAATATTCCTAACTTACAAGGAAAACATTATTTTTAGCTGTCTGGTGACGAGTGCTAGGCTATCTGGTTACAAGTGTTAAACTATTTTGTTTCTCAACAATGTTGGCTTAGTACATACAGCAAACATTAGCTGGCTCGGTACATCAGTGATGTATCGCGCTGCCTTTCTCCCATCACTCCTACTACATCTATGTCAGAGTATATCACAGTATTAAAATGCAAGTTAGCAGACTTTTGGATTTCTCTATTCTGTTGGAGTAGTTTGAGGGGTGGAAGAACTGCAATATATCTGATACTCACTGTGTAAAAGCAGTGTAACTGCAGTGTGATTCTCTAGCACCAGAAAAACAATGCCCTTCTTTTAGGTACGTTTTTTTGTTTTGTTTGATCACTGTAGTTCACTACAATAGCATCATTTTGGCTGTGCTGTGAGTGACGGAGCGCTGCTTCAAGTTAGCCAGCTGCTAAAAAAAAAAGCTTGGAATGCATTAATACTAAAACGTGACTGAGCACTGTAACACACAGACCACTTCACTGTAGTTGTGTGTAGCATACATGATTTAATGCTGCTAAAGCTTGTTGGGATGTAAGGAAAGAAGTGAGTTCACTCTAAGCCAGTACAGTTATGCCACTGTACTTTTGATTATCTCATCACTCACACTTGTTCACAGGAGAACAGATCACCAATTGCTTCACTCAAACAGGGGACGTATAACCCCACGTTTCAGACGTCACCAAAGGATATTTGGCAACGCATTTTAGTCTTTGCCCCGTCCATTGTCTAATCATGTGAAAAAACGTGGAAGTGCGCCCACTCATGGTGACAACAGAGTAGTGTTGCTTTCCTTGTAGTAGAAAACGCCACCAGGACTAGATTGCGGAAGTGTTAGAATGGTCTATTATATCAAACATTTCTTGATTATTTCTTATGTTTATATCCAGGAAAGTTATATTGCGCTAATTATTGTATTGTTTTATCACCCAGTGTGTGTGTGTATGAGTATGAATTCCATTTTTTTTATTATTTTATTGTGAGTGTAGGCTAAAGCTGTGCTGAAGTTCATCGAAGCGATTTCAGAAAAGACTCTACGGAGCACTGTAGCCCTCACTGCTGCCAGAGGCCGGGGCAAGTCTGCAGCGCTGGGGCTGGCTATTGCGGGAGCTGTTGCCTTTGGGTATGTACTAAAGGATATTCTGTATAGGGGGTGAGCTCATCTGATTTTTTAGCTATTCTTCTTAACTTTGTGATAACGCTGTGATCTCTCTATTCGTTTATTACAGGTATTCCAACATCTTTGTCACATCCCCCAGCCCAGACAACTTGCACACATTGTTTGAGTTCATATTCAAAGGCTTTGATGCCCTTCAGTATCAGGTGATAATCTTCATTTCAAACCAACATGCCATTTTGACAAGCCATAGTATTGGTCTGTGAATTGCTCTTTGTTAATATAAGGTACAACATGTGTTCCCAATTTGTAATCACTAGACTTTAGCCTCTTCAGAAGTAACAGACAGGGCTTATTATTTCCACATAAGTGATATGATAAAATGCAATAAAATGCCATGCTTGATCAGCCATGCTCGCAGTAGTACAGGGACATCAGCATTGTTGTTTTTTTTTAATTAATTAATTAATTCATTATTATTTTTTTTTTTTTTTGCACGCTCGCAACTTTGATTAAACATGCGAAGATGGTTTTGACATGAAAGTAAAGGATGTATTTTTTTCTTTTTATTTCAGGTTACTTAGATTGGGCATATGTAATATGTAATTTACTGTTTTTGTAATAAAAGAACTCCTTGTTCAGTTCCCAATTTTAGCATTTATGTATGTCCTTTCGACTCTTAACCTAATCTGTTGCGACTATTCTATCCCAATATTTTCAAATCGGTTTTCTAGATTTTTTGCAATGGTGGTTTTGAAACAGTAGGAGAGTACTTTTGTTATGGTCAGCACATGGGATTGTAAAGGAAAGATGAGCTCCAGTAGCTTTCTCCTCATTATGTTACCTACAATGTATTCCTTGATAGTCTGTTCACAGTTGGACTGTAAACTTGTAATGTCAGGGAAATATATTTGTTTGGAAACTAAATTATATTTGTTTGGCAGGAACATCTAGATTATGAAATAATCCAGTCTTTAAACCCTGAGTTCAATAAAGCTGTGGTCAGAGTCAACATCTTCAAGGAACATCGACAGACCATTCAGGTAGATTTACTTCTCTCTTGGATGTATTTTATGTTTGTTAATTTCTGTTTTTATTGTCTGTATAGTGCAGTGCAGAAAACAATGTTATTGATCAATACTCTTGTCATGTATGCTGTTTGTGACTTTAATGCTGACCTGAGCTGTGATCTACAGTACATCCATCCTGCTGATGCTGTCAAGCTGGGTCAGGCAGAGTTGGTGGTCATTGATGAAGCTGCTGCTATTCCCTTGCTTCTGGTGAAGAAACTGCTCGGGCCTTATCTCATCTTCATGGCGTCTACAGTCAATGGGTCAGTATGCCATGTTTTATAGTGTGTGTTTGCAGTCTACTTGTGAGCATTCAGACTGAACTGAATCTTATTTGGAGGTGATGGTTTCTATCCCAGGTACAAGTGGCTTGAAATTTGGAACTAGAGGTGCACTAATACCACTTTTTCCCTTCCTATACTAAGACCAATATTTGATCCTTAAATTTATGCCAATACAGAGCAGTGGTATCAATACTAACTCTATCTAACTTAACTAAACTATACATCCTGGTATTTATAGAACTACATTTTCAAAATGTTTTGTTTAGGTAAAATCTATGTTCTGAGTCGCAAATAAAACATTCTCAACTTAACTAGGTGGCATTTACTTGTTGGGGTATATATATTAGATGCGAATGGCATTTATTTGTTGGATTATGTATATTAGATACTTCTGAAAACCTATTTTTGTTTATTTATAATATATATGTAGTTTGTTAAACAACTTAAGTAAATGTAAGATGACTTCATTGTGAAAAATAGTTGTGTACATGTAAGCACACAGCAGTTTCTCTAGCTCTGCAAAAACTGTGCTTAATGTTGTTTCACATTTGAATTTCTCAAGTCATTTGTCTTGTTCGTGTTGTTGATCAAAGATATCAGTATCTCAGTCACCGATACTGGTACTGCTGAGTGCCAGTATGGGTGCCAATACCAATATGATATCAGTGCAACACTACTTGAAAACTAAAAATCAAATGTGTGACATTTTCAAGGATTCGGAGGCTTGGTCCCAAATGGTGTCCGAAACCCTGTGGTCCTCTCTTTGGAGACGTGCAGACCTATAGAGCAAGAGGTCTTGAGAACTTTAAATTTAAACACATGCATTTGGGACAGACTCTTGCAGTGTGCAGGCTCGCCATGTGCAGCAAGGCAATCATTTTTGGATTGTTTTATTAGGGAAAAAAAAAAAAGTAATTCATTTTTATACAGTGGCTTTATTCAGACTATAATCATAATGCAGCTCAGTTACAAGGTAAATTGATAAACAAACATCTGAATATCTTCCTTTCCTGATATATTGAAGCTGTAAACAAAACCTTCCGCTCTGGCGCTTACCTGTATCTCAAGAAATTTTGTGTAAGAGGCTGTCTGCATCGTTGTGGCCTTCACTTAGGGATGCATAGAGGGTGCTCTTGGCATGCCTTTGATCACCTAACTGAGACATGGAACGCCCTACAGTCTCATGTGTATGCATAATTGTGGACCAAAGGGCCACGGGTGTGGCTTCTGGGACTAGGCTTCAGTTTAGTGTAGTTGGCCTGGATTTGCTATGTCGTCGAACTGGCATTGTATCGTTCAAATACAAACTGAATCTAAAAATTCAGTCAAAACTAAATATTTCTCCAAAAATGCAAAGTATTTGTAGTTTATTTTATAGTAACGTATATAATAATATAATAACACTGATAAGCGTCCAGTAATTTCCATAGTAATTTCTTGTTGTAAGCATCCAGTAATTTCCAAGTTGTGTGCTGTTCATCTGTGTGCAGGTATGAGGGCACAGGACGCTCCCTGTCTCTCAAGCTGATTCAGCAGCTCAGGCAGCAAAGCAGTGATAGCCAACAGAGTCTCTCAGCTGAAAACAAAACAACCAACACAGCCAGGCTGGCAGCAGGTACTGTAAATTGTATGTTGTACTAGCTAAACTGTCACAGTACCATCTCTGTTTCCCTATTCTTTAATGCGAAACCAAAAAAACCCAAAGCCTTTTAGAATGACAACCCTAGGCCTAGTCATAAAGAAATGCCTCACTCATGAAAATTACAACTTATAATGTGTTTATGTCCATTATAGAGCATTGTTTTCCACCAATTAAGCACAAGTGACTATTACCATAGAATTGCTTGGTATTTTGTGCATAGTGATAGAAATTAGTAGTGGAACATTGGAATTGGATTATTATTGGGGCAAATAAAACAGGAATGAAATGAATAAAAACAATAAAACTTAATGAATCAATCAAAAGGAGATCTAGTAAACAAAAGTTTTTTCCTTATCAGTCCACATATACTTTTTCATTGTATCTACTATCCAAAAAAAATGTTCTAAGTCACAAACAAAACATACTCAGCTTGACTAGATGGCATTTATTTGTAGGATTATGTATAATAGATACAAAAACCTATTTTTGTTTATTTACTGTACATATTTAGTATGTTAAACAACTTAAGTAAATGTAAAATGACTTAATTGTGAAAAATAGTTCAAAACGGAACTAAACAGTATATAGATAAACCTGTGGTGTATGTACACATAAGCACACGGCAGTTTCCCTGGCTCTGAATGTTGTTTCGCATCGGAAATCATTTGTCTTGTTAACTCACACTGCATCTGTGAGCGTCAGACTCTGCCAAAGTTTAGTAAATATTATTGTCGTTCATGGTGTCAGCAGCAGCACGTTTTAGTTTTTTTCTGGCTTGGTTGAAGCATATAGGGCCACGGGACCCCGCTGCTGAGTGATACAGCTGACAGACTGAGGCACATCCCTTATAGGCACAAACTTACAGTTTGTGTCCATTATAGAGCATTATTTGCCACTAGTTAAGCACAAGTGACTAGTAGAATAGAATTGCTCGGTATTATGTTGGTTGCATTTTGTGCGTAGTGATAGAAATAAAAAGTGGGACATTGCTTATTAATTGGAACAAGTAAAACAGCAATGAAATTAATAAAAATGAAAAAGAAAAAAGAAACTTTATGAACCGATTAAAAAGGAGATCTAGTAAACAAAACTACTTTTTCCTTGTCAGTCCATGTATACTTTGTCATTCTATCTACTTTCCAATAAATTTCGAAATGCGTAGTGTCTGCTGTTTTGGCATATTTCTCTTTTATAAATTGTATGTGATTCTACAAGGTGTTCAGATTTGCTATGCAATTCTGCAACACATCAAGCCATCGTCCTGTTCCTTCTCAAACAAGCAAGCCTACTTTTCCTGTGATTCATATCCAAAGTTGATTTGTGCTTATGTTCTAAAAAAGTGAAATAGTGAATTGACATTGATGTTTTGAATGAGTGGATGTCTACACTGGAATTGTCAAGTGTGCACATGAAATCAGCTGTTAAACTCACTGAACTGTCCTTATGTGGTTTTGGGACATTTAGTAGTGTGTATAACAAGTCATGTTTTATTCCCACATTTAACATGGGTATTATAGGTAGCATAACCATAAAACAGCATCATACTGACCTGATGTTGGGCAACTTGGTTGTATCTAACTACCTAAATATCCTTATTAGTCAGTGACACAAAATAAACGGTATTTACATCTGGCTTTCAGAAAAGTCTTGTGGAAGGTAGGGATAAGCTCAGATATGTCCTATTTGCTATGTAGCCTATTTTTATGAGCAAACATATGCTCTTTGGAGGATATTACAGTTGCAAAGCTGTAAGCTATGCCAGTAGTTATTCCTTTGCTGCTTCTTTTGCATGGAATGGAACACACAGCACGCAAGGCACAGATAATGTTTATGAATCTGCTGGTGTTTGAAACGCACACTTTCTCACAATAATTTCAAATTTGTTGAGTTGTTGTGGCACCACCAACAGCAAACATTGAGCCAGAATGTTTGAATTATGCAGTCTGTACCAGAACCAATTAAAAAATTCTCATTACAAATTCTCTGGTTAGCACTCCTGCAATTTTAGCGTGACTGGAAACTAAAAAGTTAGCCCCCAGTGGGTTTTGACAAAATCGTGGGTAGTGTGTTCTGCAGGAGTCATCGTAGATCTCTCCACCTAATTAGTTGGCCTGTCCCAACTTTTTTTTAAACTTGTATCTGGCATCAAATTCTAAATGTGCATATATTTTTCAAAAAAACAAGTTTAAACATTATACGTTGGCTTTGTACTATTTTCAAATAAATATAGGATTTAAATGATTTGCACGTCATTGCATTCTGTTGTTATTTACATTCTGCACAGTGTCCCAACTTTTTCGGAAACAGGGTTGTATAATACAAAAACTGAATTAAGATGTTATTTGTTTTATAGTCTTTTAAAGAGTACAGGGAACTATAATAAATTTAAAATTTAATACAATATGCACAAAAGTAACTGAATGTCATGTTGTTACGGTTGGAAATCATTTTATAATAACAATTTCAAAGTCAGTTGTACATAAATGTTTATAAGCAATGCCAGTAGATGTGAGAAGTAAATAATTACCAGCTATCAAATGTGACCGAATTCCTAATTTGTAAACCCTACTCTGCAGCGCGCTCTCTCCATGAGGTGTCTCTTCATGAGTCCATCCGCTACGCTCCAGGAGACCCTGTGGAAAAATGGCTAAATGAACTCTTGTGTCTGGACTGCCTGAGTGTGCCGCGCATCATCTCAGGTTGTCCCCTGCCTGAAACCTGTGACCTGTATCCTCCATCGTATGCATCCAACATGCATAACCAACTCTATGTAAATCTGTCCAACTTCAAATGTTTATGATGCTGACACATTCCACTAAATATGCTGAATTATAACAAATGAGTAATGTTAGGCCTGTATTATGTAGGTTTATCCTGAGGTGCTTCATAGGCCCAATCCCATTTCTCCCACCGCTACAACTTCTTTTCTTGTGTAGTGGTTGAAATCGTGCCGAAATGGGACAACCCTCAAATATGCTTTACTAAGAGGCTACTAGTCTTCAGTAATAGCAGAGAAGGGAAAAGTTCAGCAACCTCGCTGCATTTAGGGCATCATATGCTTTCAAAGAGGGGGTATAAGACAGTTATTTATAATCATCCACCCCTAATTCTTTGGTGATACGAAGCTGAAGTCAGCTGTTCACCAGCTTGTTCGACTTTTCCCGTTCCACCTTAAATGGTGCAGCAGTTACATTCTGGCGCTTCAGGCGTCAGGACTATTTGAGCTGGACTGGGAAATGCTGGACTGGGAAATTTGCTAGCTAGGTACCAAGACATTAGCATGTTATTAGTCATTTTTTACGCTGTTATGAAGAAAACGACCATAATACATTGAAACGACAGATAATAAACTAAGATAATACAGTGGTTATTGTAATTTTTTAACTGAGAAAATACTTACATTTGGGGGTTTCTTTGGTCGCTCGCGCAGCCATCTTGCCGGTTTGTCTTTCTCGTAACACTACGTTTGGAGTGAGACTCTGATAAACCTTCGTTTGGAGGGCCATGTAGCCCTAACACTTCGCCCTACTCCTCTATCTCAACAAAAATTGGGACACTCTAACCCTAGACGTGAACGCGCAAAACAGAGGGCTAAGGGCTAAGTGGTAGGGGCAAGGGGTGAAATGGGATCGGGCCTTAAAGCTCAGGGGAGAAGAAGAGGAGTAAACTTTCCTAATTTGTAATTTAAAAGCAGCTGCACAGACACTAATCAATAGGAAGAAGTGTGTGTGGGTGAGAGAGTCTGCTGTTGTAAAAACAGCAAATAACAAAATGTTCACAAACAAGCCGCAAATCACAGTATCGTTACAGCGCTGCAACGTGACAGAGCTCCACAAATATGTAACCAACACCACATCAGCTACAAACTAATAACTGTTAACAATTGTGAAGTAACCACTTCTGTCAAAGTCAAACTAACTTGAGGACAAAACTAACAAAGATTATACATACTTTATGAACAAGTAATAATAGATACTAACTTTATTCTACAGAGCAAACGTGTAGAAGGTATTTAGTGCATGATCATTGTCGTTTTCCTTAGTCTCTTATTACAGGTACTATGTGAACAGAGATACTTTATTCTGTTACCATAAAGCCTCTGAGGCCTTCCTCCAGCGTCTCATGGCCCTCTATGTAGCGTCTCACTATAAGGTGGGTATACTGTTCTGTCCTAAATTTTTCTGGACAAAGTCATATGAAATGTGCATTGACTGTAAATGTTTCTCTGCAGAATTCGCCCAATGACCTGCAGTTGCTCTCAGATGCTCCAGCTCATCATCTCTTCTGTCTCTTGCCTCCTGTTCCACCAACACACAATTCTTTGCCAGAAGTTTTAGCAGTTTTGCAGGTATACAAATTGGCACCTTGTATTGGGGAAATATTAAAAGTATACTTCAAGTACAATTCTACATTGAGAAACCTTGAATTAAAGCTGTTTCACTGTTGTGTCCCTATAAAATTTACATGCTTTTTCTGCCCTAAATTATAATCATAAGGATGAGTCTAAAGGATAACCAAATTAAATTGTCCTAGTGAATGTATAGTCTTAAACCTTCAGTCATCTGTACAGTAAGAATCAAACCATTGTTAGAGTCCAAAACAGCAAGGCTGTTGTATAGACTGATGGATACAGGGGTTGGATGGTATAGTAAAAATGTCATGAAAAATATCATGATATCTGAAAGCTTTTTCACAGTACTCAGTCACAATATATTTCGTTTTCTAATGTTTGATAAGGTTCTGCCTCATTTTAAAAAGTGCAATAATTTTTGTTTAATGTTTCACATACTGCGCTACAGTAAATTCAGCTAACCAGGACTAATTATGCTTTAAAGGTATTGAATTGGGTTCTTTTTGCTAGCATTCGCTTGCAAAAGGCAATTTAAACCTCATACTGATCAGGTTTCACCTTTGCTTGAAGGTATGTCTGGAGGGTGAAATTTCCCGTCAGTCGATCCTCAACAGCTTATCCAGAGGAAAGAAAGCGGCAGGGGACCTCATCCCCTGGACTGTATCAGAGCAGGTATCGGAAAATCTTAACCTTACCACCAGTCATTATGTCCTAAGTTACTACTCAGTTTCTGATTTCATTTTTGTTATAATTTTGATCAGTAAAGACTAAGTTTAAGTGCTGTTTTGTGGGTTTAGTTTCAAGATTCTGAGTTTGGCGGCCTCTCAGGGGGAAGGGTGGTCCGAATTGCAGTAAACCCAGACTACCAGGGGGTAAGCATATGCCATCTTATTTTGTCTTTTTTCAGTAATGCAGAACTGAAATTAAATGAAGTGACGTAAAATGCTGTGTAATTACATTACATTACCATTAGTCAAAGTGTTTGTTTTGATCTGGATGAACTTTCTCAGATGGGTTACGGGAGCCGTGCTCTGCAGCTGTTGCAGCGTTACTATGAGGGACAGTTTCCTCCCCTAGATGAGCGAGAACAGCCAAATGCCAGTACAATTAACTCAGTCAGCAGTGAGGTAATGTGCACGCAGAGTGTTTTACTATATCTCTGAGAGTGGCTTTTTTAGGGTTTTGGGACTATAATTATTGAAGTATAATGGATAGAACTAAAAAAAAGATCTCTCAACTCAGTTTGTTAATATGCTTGGAAGGTAATTTTGTAGAAAAAGACATTCACACCCCCATCGGAGCTATTCTGAAGGTATTCACCTTGTATTTGTACATAGGCTGTCAGCCTTTTGGAAGAGGTAGTGTCTCCCCGGACAGACCTGCCACCCCTCTTGTTGAAACTGAATGAGAGGACAGCAGAGAGGCTGGACTACTTAGGAGTGTCATATGGTCTCACACCACAACTGCTCAAGTAAATATAATCATGTGCAAACATATATATATATACCATTTATGCACTTGCATCACACTTGAAGCTTTTCACAAATACACCAGCATCTTTTGCTCAGCTTCTTTTCTCTCCATTCACAGATTCTGGAAGAAGGCTGGCTTTGTTCCAGTTTATTTAAGACAAACTCCAGTAAGCAAAGAGCCATTCTTGTTGTTTTACAACATTCATTTGATGCAAATTTGCATTGCTGCTTCTTACCAGCAATAAGACAGCATTGAAATGTGAGGTTGTAATGCAGTGTGTCTGTCTCTTCGAACTCTGTCCATTGAATATTGCTATGCAAGATTAACATGAACTTATTTTGATTTCCAGAATGACCTGACAGGAGAGCACTCCTGTGTAATGTTAAAAGAGCTGAACACAGAGGATTCAGCAGGACAGTGGCTGCCTGCCTTCTGGAAAGGTGAGTCTCCTTACACGTATTTCTACAGAACTGATTTATCTTATGCACTTGGGTGCACACAAAGGGTGGAAAATTTGATAGTGTTGTATTGCAATGTTTTTGGGTATAGAGGTCCAAATATGAATGTTATAATTTAATTCATGTTTTCAATCATGTTTTAAGCACATTGTTAGACTAATATATTATCAAGTTACATCTTTTTCTTAATCCACAAGAAATATTCAGATATCACAGTATATCACAGTATATCGTATGTCTTTTACCCTCAACAGTAGTTTCTATTCTTAGCCTGTCTTGATCTATCTTCCTGTAAGCCATCCTCTGTAAACTTGCGCTGGTCTGAGTGGATCAGACACAGCAGTGCTGCTGAAGTTTTTAAACAGTGTGTCCACTCACTGTCCACTCTATTAGACACTCCTACCTTGTCAGTCCACCTTGTAGATGTAAAGTCAGAGACGATAGCTCATCTGCTGCTGCACAGTTTGTGTTGGGCTTCCTCTAGTCCTTCATCAGTGGTCACAGAACGCTGCCCACAGGACACTGTTGGCTGGATATTTTTGGTTGGTGGACTACTCTCAGTCTAGCAGTGATACTGAGGTGAGGTGTTTAAAACCTCCAGCAGCACTGCTGTGTCTGATACACTCAGACCAGCACAACACACACTAACACACCACCACCACATCAGTGTTACTGCAGTGCTGAGAATGATCCACCACCCAAATAGTACCTGCTCTGTGAGGGTCCATGGGGGTCCTGACCACTGAACAGGGTAAAAAGGGGCTAACAAAGTATGCAGAGAAACAGATGGACTACAGTCTGTAATTGTAGAACTACAAAGTGCACCTATATAGTAAGTGGAGCTGATAAAATGGACAATTAGCGTAGAAACATAGAAGTGGTCATAATGTTATGCCTGACCTGATCGGGGGTGTGTGTGTGTATGTATGTGTATGTATTTATAGATATATAATGTATGCAGGTTGTGTGTGTGTGTGTGTGTGTGTGTGTGTGTGTATTGTATATATTCGGTTCAGACACAGATTTTGAGTAGATCAGGATGTTAGATTAGATTTTCAACTAAAATAAGTAGAAGTTCTTGGGGGTCTGCACTTTTTATTCTAATATTTGTGTTCTTGAACACTTTTCAGTGTAGAATTGACAATTTAATCTAAGAACAGACTTTTGCATGTGGAAATCAATCTAAAAATTCTTGTTTTATTCTGCAGATTTCCGGCGAAGGTTTCTTTCTCTGCTGTCCTATCAGTTCAGCAGTTTTAGCCCCACTTTAGCCCTGAACATACTGCAGAACAAGAACGTCAAAGAAGACAGTCCAGCAAGTATGCACCCTAATGGCTCGCTTCAACACTTTCTGGTTTTTCTGGTGTTCTGGTTTATCCAGATAACTGTGTATTTCATCTTTATCTTAGCGCTCACCAGCATGGAGTTAGCTGCCCAGTTCACCCCATACGATCTGAAGCGTTTAGAGATGTACTCCAGGAACATGGTTGACTATCATCTCATTATGGACATGGTCCCTGTCGTGGCCCGGATGTTCTTCCTCAAACAGCTGGGCAGTATTTCGCTTTCTGCTGCTCAGTCTGTGAGTGTGTGCTTGGCTTTAACAGTTTCCACCCACCAGTGTGCATTTGGGTTTGGGTCTATGTTTAATTTTATCACTCTCTTCCAGGCTCTGCTCTTGGGACTTGGACTGCAGCACAAAGCTATAGATGACCTGGAGAAGGAGATTGAGCTGCCCAGCTCTCAGCTCATGGGCCTATTCAACCGTCTCATCCGCAAGGTGGTACAGGTGAGGCAAAAGCATAACATAAGAATGATATGTCTCCGCTGTTGTCAAAACTACGTTTTTTGCAAATTGAAACCAAAAGCAAGAGCTTTCAGGAATACATAAAAAAGACATGAAGTCATCCTCTAAGTAGGTGTGATGCAAATATACAGATTGATGTTGTAGACAAATTGCTGTGGCTGAAGAACAAAATGTGGCTTTGCTTTTACTTGAGGCCTATGAAATATTTGAGTGTTTATTTCATAAATCCTCACAAGCTTTGCCAAGTGTGTTACTTTGCCAAATCCTCAATCAAAGTAAATTCTAATGCCTTTTGTCTTAAAATTGGAGGTCAAGATTAGTGTTGGGTGATAAAGCCATAACAGCTGCACATTGCTAAGCTGCACACCCATTTGGATGAATCTCGTTGCAAACCGCAGCATGGTTGAGAAGTGGTATGTTATGTCGAGCAACCCAGAAAGCAGTTTTTAGGCATTGGTGATTAAAATGATAATTATCAGAATCAAAAGATCAAAAAATCATTATTCTCTTCTGTTTCTAAATTTGGTATAATCAGCAGAGCCCTAAACTTTGAACAATTGCTACTTCACTAGGTGGCAATGTTGACATTGATATACGGGGAGAGAGAAGACATCCATTCTTTCACTCACAATCACAAAAGCCAGCAGGAAAATTAGGAGAGTTAGCTAGCAAACTGTTTTCAGAGTTGAAAAAACGAGACGTTCTCTGCCGCAACCTAATTTATTTTATCTTTTTTTTCCTGTTTTTGCTGACTTTAAAAGTCAAAGATGTTGTTGGTTGACTGTTGAATGTAAAGTTGGCTGTCGACTCAAAGGTGAAAATACACTATTAAACAGCAAAAAAGATGAGCTAAAATACAAGAAATAAACACAATTTGAGAAGGATATACTACTAGTGAAATTATCTGTTCATGCAGCAAGATAATTTTACTTGACAAGACATCTTAAAATAAGGTGGTTCCAGTTTAGAAATAAGTAGGCTCTGAAAAGTAATAAAAACATTTGAAATAAGTAGAAAACTCTGGTTTTGGTCTTATTACTGATCTTGAGATCACACTTGCTACAGCACAGTAATAAGTGAAATACATTGAATATTAGCAAATAATTCTAATTTTTTTGTGTTCATAATTTTAAGGCAATGAACAGGGAATGAAAAAAACGAGCAGAGGAAACTGAAGAAAAACTGGATGTTCTAGCTGAGATGGAATTGGTTCTGAAGTTAGGTTACACTATGGTGTGTTTGTTTAAAACACAGACACAGAGGATACTTAAATCTTTCTTTACTGAAGAATCTGCTCAACAAAGTAGATGGTTCACAATTTTGTGGTTTTACACAAACCAGAGGAGATTCACACAGTCTGGATGTACACAATCTGAATGGCTTAAATTCACTACAAAACAGAAAATAAACCAAGCCATATTATCAGCAATCAAATACTAATTAAAGAAATCTATATTACAAAATCCTAAACAATTTCATGTGAATATAACAAATTAACATTAGAAACATTAAACTTGTCAGTATGTCTAAGTATGTCAAATTTACATCAGAACAACCACACATCACGCTTCCACATTTTGTAAAGAACACTGCTCATGCTGCCAGTTGGTGAAAGCGGCAGAGACGCAGGGTTTCATAGGGATAGAATGAGGGGGGTGGGGCTGCTGCTCATCAGGTGAGGGCAGTTCACCAAAGTGAATGGGTAGAGCTTAGTGAGAAAGAAACCAGGAACACCCTCGGAGTTTCTTAAAATAGATATCCTAGCTTGCCAAATCAGGTACAGGTGCACAACATCAAGTGAAAGACAGACAGATAAAGTGGCATTAAATCTCTAAGAAGCTAGGGTCACCTAAGTTTGAACAGTCAAAATCAAAGTATACTTTCTTTTCCTGGCAGGTGAAGCATGTTGGGTCTTTGACACTGAATAAAAATGTATTTTTTTTTTTTTTAACATGCCTAATGTGCGATTTCTTAAATCAAGCTATTAAATAGTTTGTGTCGCTGAACCTTGAAACAATTTTTGTTTTACTTTAATGTAACTCAGTTTTAGGATTTCCTAACGAATTGTAGCGTAAAAGACATTTGAAGATAAAAACTGGTAGATAACTTTTAAAACAAGATAATTAATCTCATATTTCCAGACCTGAGATTTTAAATCTTGGCAAGCATAAAACTTTGCTGTGTAGAAATCATTTTTTTTGTTTATGCTTTTCTGCAGTTCTTCAACATCCTCCAAGAGAAGGCAGTTGAGGCAGAAATGGTTGCCGTCAAAGACGTTATCATGGAGCCAACTAGTCGGCCATTGCATGAGGATCTGGTATGGAGCTCTTCTGAGAATTCAGCCCTGATATTTTGGCAAATTAACCAGTCGACTTAATTCACTCCAAGTGTTGTTCTCCTGTAGTAGTAAATTCAGAAGTTGTAGCTGTTGGTTTCAAGTAAAGTCTTGAATTAATGGTATTTCTATGTTTTCTCCTTTTCTTTGCCTTCAGGATGAGGCAGCTAAAGAGTTCCAAGAGAAACACAAAAAGGACATGGAAAAGATTAAGGATATGGATCTTTCCCAGTAAGTGTCTAAAGCAATTAATATAGCCTGTATTGCACCACACCTTGTCAGTAGGAGAGTTCAGACTTCATTTAGTGTGAACACAGTCCATGTATTGTTTTAGGTAATTTATGGCAGGGATGGCTTTCCCAAAATTGCCACAGCAGAACATTTTCAGGAGAGAAAGCAGTGTTTAGAATTAGGCTCTCAGAGCTCTTAAATACACCTAACACTAACAGCCTATGGCTTGGCAATGTTTATTTGCAGCAGTGGTAATGTTCTAATTTCTCTTGCAGTAAAATCTTTCAGTTCTTCACCAGTTTTTATAAGTTGAAGGGCAAAATAAAGCTGATGCGCCAAGGACTAAATAACTAAAACAGTTTCTTATTTGCTTTTTCTGTAATGACTACTCCAAACAGGTACATGATCCGAGGAGACGATGAAGAATGGGACCAAGTGCTGAAGACAGCAGGTCACACAGCTATCGTCAGCATAAAGAGGTAAGATAGAAATGAAAGACCTCTGGCAACCTGCATGTTTTCAGAAGAACACTGCCTGTAGTAATGACTGTGCGTTTTTTTGTTTTTATTTATCTGTATTTTTTCTTTTAGTGACAAGAAAAGAAAATTAGATGGCCCAAATAAGAAAGACCAGTGGCAAGGCAAGAAGTTGAAGCAAAATAAGGATAAAAAGGACAAATTTGGAAATAAGGTGTAACTTTTGTATAAACTGCTCACTTACCTGTTTTGCTAAATACATATATAATGTAACAAAAATGGGTATAACCCAAAGCCATTTTTTTATCTAAAGAATTTCAGATTGATGGTTGAATTGAGTAGACTGGTTTAGTCGAATCATTAAATATGGTTGGATGATTGGTGGATGTGCTGGGGGAAAAAAAAGGTTGTTTAAAAGGTTGTGCCTGAAATGGAAGTGCTTTTTTTATTTATTTTTTTTCATGTTTGACAGCACACTTGGTCATTCATTTTTTTGGATCATTTGGCCCATGTACTGTAACTGTAAGATACACTCTACAATGAGTGAATAAACCATTTGTTAAAAGTATCCTCATGAGGTGTCCTTGTTGAGCTATTTCTCATTTTTATTTGTCATGTGTCATAAGCCAAAGCATGTGGTTTTATTGCCATGTTGAACTGTCATCCATTATTTTCATTGAATGCCCTATTTCATAAAGTTACTCATTATTAAAAGATTATTAATAATGAGTAATTATACTGGAAACTGCTCATTTTCAGCCCAGTTAATTGCTAGGTCTGTTTTTAATCATTGTTTTGACCATGGGCTAGAGATGAAACGGTAACCGGTTTCACGGTAAACCGCGGTAAAATTAATGACGGTTAGTAGTACCGTTTGAACTTTAAAGTACCGTTAAAACCGCGGTCGATTACCGCGGTGTGAAAAACTCGCTTTACAGAGTCAAACAAAGGCAGAATCATCTCTCAGACGCAGCTCTGTGGGAGAGAAGAGAGAACATGGCGGAATGTAGTGACAGAGATTCCGAGATACTTCAGCCTTCTAAGAAGACCAAGTCTGACGTTTGATCATATTTTGGGTTTTATAAGAATACAGAAGGAGAGTTAATTGAAGATGACCACCCTGTCTGCAGAACAGGCCGAAAGAAAATAGCGGCGAAAGGGGGCAACACATCAAACCTTACGAGTCATCTTTGCGACCACCACCCGCTACTTTTTAGAGAATGCAAGGTCAACTTTAATGGAGAAGTCTGTGGGGACTTCGAAGTAGAAGGAATGTCATGGTCTGTGTGGTTTAACTTATGCTTATGGTTCGTTAATAATATAAAATGAAGCTTTTAGCGTCAAAAAAAAAAAAGAAAAACAATCGGTGAATCAACTGTGAATCGAAACTAAAGCCTTTAACACATATTTCTGTTGAGCAGTGTCTCCAAAATGAGCTCTGAGTTAACAGTCACACAAGCTCTGGAACGAGACGCTGCAAAAGTTCAATCTGCACAGCTCCCCTTTCTCGCTTGCAGTGTTTACTTTCTGAGAAGAGAATAACACTGTCTCAAATCACTGTGTCCCCTACATAGTGCGCTACTGTTCAAACAAACACAATCATCATTAACAAGCAGTTGAGTTTTAAATAGGGAATTAGTAACCTGTTGTTAATGTTGATTATAGATGACTTAGTCGAACATTTCCTGCACTCTTTGGGTGAAGGATTTGCTATTTCATGATCTACGAAGTGCACTACATAGGGAAGATAGTGTGCTTTGAGACGGGACCTCGCGCGAGTAAACGCTGTGCCGCTTTTGGGAAAAGCAGAGTTTCAGAGATTAAACTTTAGGAGTGTTTCTGCCGCAGCTCAGATGCATGTTAATTTTAAGTTATGTTTTAGTTTTAAAATGCTTTTAGAGAAGCAGCTCCACAGGTGAAGACACACTGTGTGAGTTCTACACTGTCTGCAGCTCACAGCGCGGTCATGCAGTTCCTCTGTGATTTTGGCTGTTTTTCCTGGTGCACTGTATTGATTAGGGGTACAGCGCCACAACGGCACAATAATGCTGCAGTTGCAGTTCGGACAGAAATCCCCCGAGTGCAGCACTTCTTAGAAGTAATAATTTTCCATTAAGACCCACCTCAGAGTTGGTGGAGATTTAATTCTCTATGCAGGGAAATCCCTAATTATTGTAATTAATAATAATAATAATAATAATTACAGCAGTAATAATAATAATTTACAACAGTAATAATAATAGTAATGGTGAAACGAATTTCAGTTTGTGTATCTTTCGCTTTTGAACAATATTGCGATAATATCGATAATCGTGATAATTCTGGTCATGATAATCGTGATATGAAATTTTAATATCGTTTCATCTCTACCATGGGCACAACTAAGTTACTGTTTCTCAGTAGATTTGCTCTGTTTGCTCACTTTTTTGGTTCATTTGAAGCAGAAAGCTCTCTGGCATTTACTATGTACAAGGATTAAAACTATAAAGAATTATGAATTTTGCAATATGGCATTCATGTTTATAAGATGCATTTAATGTATTTAAAATGTGTCAAGATGGAAAACATCCAAATTAATATAATTAATTTGGGATCACTGTGTTCCTTTTGCAGCTGGACTGTTGTATAGCTCTCTTTGGACAGCAATGATATGCCTCTGAGTGAAAAAAGGAAAATGGGTCTTAGAATCCAGAAGGCAATTCAAAGGTCAGCAGATGTTGCAAAACCGAAGTCACAACAACCCTGACATGAAAGAAAATGAGTGAATAGCGCACTTGTTTTATCTTGGCCATGTTGGTGCCCAACATGGGCTTTAGCTGTTAGCGCTTTCAAGCAATAGTACAATTAGTAGTGCATTCTGACACATTATCCCAACATTCTAAATTCAGAAGTGCTTTGCCTGGTTATGGCCTGTCTGTCTGTTTGCTTGCATGAGTCTTGTCATTCTCTTTTGATCCCTCATCCACAACCTGTTTATTAATTGCATTGGTAGTTTTCCATGTTGTTCTCTGTAAAACCATTGACATGGTTGTAGGTGAAACGTCCAGAATCTGTTACAGAGAAATGCACACCTAGCACCAACTATCAGGCCAAAGTCACATGGGCTACATTCACATTACAAGCCTCATTGCTCAAATCTGATTTTTTGCTTGGATCTGACCTCTCTAACACGATGGTTCACACTCGTTTAGGTAAGTGACTCAAATCTGTCATGTAAATGATGTAAATGAACTGGCGTCCTGAAATGACCTGCATGCACATCCTAATCAGTAAGGTCAACAGCAAGAACAGCAGCCTTCAACAGCTCTAGAGGTAAATGACCAACAATAACAAAGTTTTTGCCAAAAAGTTGATTACTTGTAGAATAACACATGGCAGCATAAACTGAATTCATGAAACTGACATTATCAAGGTCTTTTCAAAACACCTTAAAAGGGGCTCAAAGTTTTACCAAAAGGAAGAGAAAAAGCAAAATGGAGAAAACGTTGGAAGTCTTCATATACAAAATTGCTGAAGCCCTGAAGAATGATGACACAGATGTTCTTCTCAATATGCATAAAGCACAGCATGAGCATAAAATTAAAATGGACACTGCTGACAAAGGCTCTCACACAGACAAACCACCCCTATAGCTTCTGCCCAACCTTCTCACATCCTTATAGACAGTTTCACCCTCCACCTTTTAACAACCTTAGCCAATCTCCAGTTTTCCCCCACAATTTGGCTTCCGTCCCACTTTCTCAAGGATGTGGCTCAGCCACTAACCTTCAGCCAGGAATCAGGACCCTCACAGGGTTCATGTGGTGATGCCAGTGTTCTTGCAGTCCACCAGCAGCCTTTTCTGAATTCCCAACCAATCCCCCAATCCATTCTCCAGAGAAAAGCTAAATTCAATAGAGCCATGTTTTGTAGAGCATCTTCTAAGTTAAAAGTTTTGCACTAGTTTATTGCAAGGTGTAAAAACATTTTTTAAAGAGATTTTTCATTTTTGCATGGTGTGCATGAAAATGCACAAAAGGAAAAACTTGTTTTTCAGTATGTTAAAAAAAAATAGTTTTCTGAAAAATGCCATGTTTTAAGTGTATTCCCTGTTAAAGATGTGCTAAATTATTTTCATGTAAAAATTAAAGCATAGGAAAGAGGGCCTTTTCATGCACATTTCAGACGCATGATACACTGTAATTTGGATATTATAACAGGCAATCCTTACCAGTATATGTAGTCCATGACACTGGAAAATCACAGAGAGCCATCTTTACTGTTGAAATAATTGGTGTGATTGTTCTCAGGGGCAGTGATGAAACTCAAACTCATCAGAATGTAAAACGTGTGAACGTGGTCAGTGTGTCTAATAAACTGGCAATTTCTAAACACCAAATGAATGGGTGGTTCTGCTGTAGGCTGAATAGACATATGGTCATCTGTGTTTATGGTTAAGATAGCATATCCATATTGAATTCAAAACAGGCTGTTTTGCAGCTTAGTTTCTGTGAACTGAGGAGTTTACACGATGCATACATAGTAACCAAGTAAACATTTTTGCAATCAAACTCAGGTTTTTATAATAAAAATATATTTCACCCAAGAAATCATGTCTTCATGATTTCATCTGGGCTAAGAGGAAGATTGTATAATTGTGATTTGTCCATCACATTCCTTTAAAGTGCTAACCATCATGGACAAAAAAAAATTAGGGATTAACATTTTCAGACGTTCAGGAGGTTGTAACAGTGTATCTCCTCATCCGTATATTTATTTCGGCAACTTAATTTTTTTTTAACTTCACCCATAATATGTTTAGAGAAACAGTCATTATAGCAGGCTAACTGGAATTTTTTCATGTAGGTTATAAATGAATAACAGATTCGCTGCTATGAAGTGAAATGCCCTGGCTTCATTAACGTCACTGGACAGTTTGCTCTCCTTTATGTAAACACAAATGGACTGCTCAGCAGTTGCGCTCGATACTGCAAAATGATACTGCAAAATTTGGTATCAATCCAATACCAAGTAAATATAGGGCCAGTATCGGCGATACTGATACTTTTTACTTATAAAAACAGTTTACGTACTTTTATGCAGGGGAGAGCAGTGTGTCATGGTCAATGAGGTGAATCTTTCATCAATATGCTAAATCTGAATACATTTTCATGACCACCAAGTGATTCTGTGATTTTTGCTTTAATTAGTTAATCATGTGCATGTTAAAACCCAGGACAGCCAGGTTTTTAGGCATTTTTTTATTACTGTAATGAACTTAATTTACAAACATGAATTTTGCACAAATTTACTACTGGAGAACAGTGAATGTTTTAAAACGTACATTCTTCTTTCTCTCAGTCTGTGTTTTCGTTTAGGAACAATTAAATAATAACAAGATATAATTTCTCCATTGCATTGCACTTCTCCGGCTTTTTGTAAAATAAACAAAGAGCACAAAATTATTACTGGAGAACGAATGTTTTAAAAAAATTAATAATAATTTCAGTCAGAGGTTTTTGTTCAAAAACAATAATATAAGCTACTTGGATAATCGTTGCCTTTTTAAAAGGACTCTGCCAGTGACCT